TGGATGAACCTTTAATGACTCCATGAAAACAGAGCATCCAGTGGATACCGCTCATAGAAAGAAGTGATTTCTCTGGATCTAGAACATGTTTGTAAAGTCCAGTGAAGATTTTCTTTTTTCCTTTTTGATTAGAGCTGTGGTTAAATTAAATGAAATTAAAAGAGCTCTCTACCTAGTGCACCAAGCAGTTGGTCTTTTATGTGCCTTGTTTAATGACAGTGAACCTGTCACTACTGGATTTTCAAGGTCCTCCTGCTGCGAGTTCTCACAGACGGGCCCGACCCCCCTTGTCATCACTCCATCACCTCCTGTTCTGCAGCTCATCTCACCATGGGGCCGAGCACCAAGTGTCCTCCGCTGCCTGACACCAACAATTAGAGTCTGAGAGGAAATACCCTGCCGTCAAGGTCCCTTTAATCATCTGTGTATTTGTCTTCCTTGTGAATCAAAGGCAACCAGGGTAATTAACACCAAAGGACATTGAGCCTGTACTTTATTAAATTGTATCTTTACCAGAAATCTAGAGGACATGCAGAAAAAAATGAGACTTTGTTCACTGCTAGGCCCATACTGTAATACTAACACTGGGGAGCTTTCAAACACTTTACACTGGCCAGAGATCCAATAAGGCTGCTGTCTTTGACTGTGCTTAATACTTTATCCTCTTGTTCGCTTGCTGATCACCAAAATGCAGATGAGAAATGAGCTATCAAATCTGTTCTACTCCATGTCAAAGACTGACACTTTTATTTGTGCTGAAGTAGACCTCTCTAAAAAGAGAGTACTGATATTTATCCAAAGAGGTTGTGCACTTTTCCCATAGCATATCTTTAAAGCAAGAGGGAATATTTTGGTAGAATCATGAAAGGTCTCAAAAGCATGTTCACTTGCTATTCTGCTAGGGAATTTTTACTGCTACAGATGAGTAGTGCCACTTGCTTTTTTATTTCAAGTCATGTGTTCTGTGCTTTGTAATTGATCCAAGTTTGTACTTAAAAACTAAATGTAGTACTCAATGGCTTAAAAACTGCTTATTTTATTTTTAGAGCAGCAACTCTTCTAAATGTGTGTTCAACCAAAATACCACAGGGCAGTTTTATGCACAGGAAAAATTTATTTATTATAATGCTGGAAATTATGGACCAATGGTGTTAATATTTATTTAATATTTATTTAGGGCTAGACTAAACCTTCAGCCCTGTTTATGTGATAGCACATAGTTTCATCACCTCAAAAGAAATAAGCTGTGCTAGTCCCTGACCAGATGTGGATATTCACTCTGCCTCTCCCACTGGCTCTGTTGTAGCAATGTTTCTAAGTCACAAACAGAGTTCAATATTACCTACAAATATTTGAGAATAAATTGGGAAATCATTAAGTAGGCCCACAAAGAGATTTAGGCAATACTTGAATACGATTACATTTCACCTTTGTTTTGGGAACACCGCTCCAGAAACTGATGTTAGCCCTGAATTAGGAACCTCACTGTGGATTAGTTGTACTGAATATTGGCATCTCTGTTAGAAGCCATCCTGACTCTACAGTTACTGGACAGTCAACCAATGCCATTCATGAAGTCTCGTGTGATTCACATCAGTAAACCAAATGCTGACATATAGCCAGGTGAACCAAAGGTTCATATGCTGATTATTTTTTAGACTATAAATGAAGCCAACACCAGTAAGTCCGAGACAGACACCTTCATTATTGAGAGGTGAGATGAACACTCCATCCTTCAAATTTCTTCATAGCTCACGGACAGAATTTGAGAATAAAAGTCACAACAGTCAGCAAGGTAAGTAAAGGCATGGGACTACCTAAATTACCCAAAAGAAAGATGGATGCATCTGAAAAAAACAATCTTTTGAAGCTGGTTGCTGGCCTGCATTCCTGATTTAGGTGCCAATAGTCCCAGCCCTGAGTCATCTCTTGGCTTGAGCCATCATTTTCCCTGACTGTGCATGTTGCTTGATCTTAACTTCTACCTTAAAAAAGCCCTTTTGAATTTTTTTTTTTTCACCATTGCCAGAAATGTCAACAATATTAAGACTTCTTAAAAATGCATTTCTTAGAAATAGCTGATGCCACAGTACATCATTTGCAAAGCCGCAATTCACACAACTTTAAGCAATAGTGTACACAGTTAGGCATGACTGATGTTCTGCTCAATACACTGATCATTTATAGATTTTTGCCAAAGGGACTCTGCAATTGCAGGTTTTACTGCACTTTCCACTGTAAAAAAAAAAAATTAACTGGTTATGCAACTCCTGAGTTATTAATTGACAAAAGCAGCAATGTTTTCAGATTATGTTTGGCTTTGCTCTAAACCTAAAAATAGTGTGGGGTTTTGTTTTTTTTTTTTTTTTTAAGTACTCCATCTGAAAGTTTGTATTTGATGTAGTCAAAATTTACTGCATGTTGGAAAATATATAAAATTGAGAAAATATTTCATTTCAAGGAGTAACAACTGCTATAAACATAATCAGTAATGTGTGAACTTCTAAGCTGCTTAAGCAGCTTGGTCCATTTAAGGATCTAAATGTATCGTTGCCTATAGGAAAAGCATTTGAAAGTATCAAAGTATCTGGAATCTACATAATAGAAAGTCTTGTAAAAACAGGTTTTTATTTATGTATGTAGAATTTCTGAACCAGAAACAGCCTTTTTACTTTCTTGTATTTCTCACTCCAGTCCCAGATGAAACGAAATAATATTAAGTAGGAAAGAGGGAACTACAAGAAATTATTCAGATTCTCAGAATGAGAAAAGATGCTTGACTAGACATTTTGAGTTCCTTTTTAATCTAATTTTAATACAATGCTATCCATTCTTTTTACCTACTGTGTTATTAACATTGTCAGTAGTAAAATAAAAAAGTCCTTTTTGTATTTTGTAACATACTTGAGTCTGTAAGAATATAAACTAGAAAGAGTTGGATTGCTGGTATTTCCTAATAAATATCAAAATTAGTATTTGTTTTGTTCTCTTACAGCAGACATGTAAATATGCTATTGGTTTTTTTTGAGGGCTTTCACATCTTGCTTATGGCTTTGTCATTCATGAGTCTTATGCAATGTCATTTATCTGGTGAAGTGTAAGCAGCAATGATCAAACAAAGGCTAGTTAAATTGCAAAACATGAGACCTGGATGTCTGAATCAAGATCCAATTGCATTTGAAAGAAATGGCACTAACTACCCCTAGAACCAAGTGACTTCAGTCAATAGGCCTGATTTAAATAATCATCTCCCAAATGCATGCTTAATATTTCCAAAAAACCATAACCTCATAAGCTCCTGAGCTCTAGAGTTAAGCAAAAGCCAAAACCAATTAAAAGGCAACCACATTTCCATTCACAGTGTAGCTTGTGCTCATGTACATGATAATGTCAGCAGACTGACTCTACATGGCATGAAGTTCTACCTAATATTTGTAATATTAAATATAATGCTGTCCACAAAAAAAACCCCACCAAAACAATGAAGTCTGGGCAGGAAAAAGGAAAAGAGACAGAGATTCATATGCATATGTATGGGTTATAAAATGTATGTCAAAAATAAATGTATTTCATACCATCATCAACACTGACATGATAAGTAGTTTTGACACTGAAGAAGTACGGTTAGAGCTTTGGGTTTTATTTCTGATTTTACAAGCCATTAGCTATGGCAAACACTTGTTGCAGCCCTATTCCTCTAGCATAAAACTGGGGTCATTACATCGCTATGCCCTGAAGATTTTTAATGACTTTCAGAGACCTTTTAATCTTGTATGGTACATAATTGCTAAAGATGTACAAAACCCTATAATGTTGCATAGCTGCTTGACAAAGTATTTGAAATCAGCTGCAAATAGTAGGGCCCGTTATAATCAGTTTACATGTTTTGACATAATTTAAAGGATGTGTCCAAATACAAACTGCCTCAGAAAAAGAAATACCAAATAATACCACCTGCAAAATCTATAAGAAAATGCTTATTAAATGAGAGTCACAGTTTGGGAATTATTTATGAGTGTCAACAGCTAAAATAGCAACATCCTGACAGCATATGACAACATATGGACAAGACAGTTCCATAGCTTTTACAGTACTGATTAGCACTGGGTTTGTCTCTCAGAAACTTTTTTTTAACCTATTCCTTTCCCTTAATAGGCAAAAGGAAAGAAGTAATCAGAACCAAGATAATGCAAGAAAATGTCACCAACAAAAATCAGACATAAATCAGAATGCTAGATGGCATTTGAATATTTTGAGGTATTTTTCAAACTATATTTGAAGTACAGTAGCAAATTATCAACTACAATAAATGATGAAGAAAACAACAGAGATTCTAGAGATCTATAATGCTGAGTGGAGCGTTCCCTAGTATTTGTCACAATAAACCCATTTGACAGTGTCTAGCAGACAATCACTAATAGATTTCACATACCAACACCAAAGTGTATATAGTCTTCAGAGAACGTATATAACAGAAAAAAAAAATAGAAAAACAACCTTTCAATATTCTGAAAGTACTTAGACAAAATATAAATTATTATCTCCAGTGAAATACTCCAGATAACTGAAATTTCCTGCCATACTTAGACAGACAGTAAAGTTCACACCAAGTCATGAAATTCCACTGACTTGGACAAACCCATTGGCATTTGTTGATTGAGACATCAAATAAATCAAAATAGATTTTAACACCAAGTAACAAGTTAGTATCTAGAAGAAGACTGACATACAGGGGGCAGCTGCAATTCAACCCATTACTTTGTACGATAGTTTCAAACATCTTTATTAGTATCACTCAGAAAGCTGGACTGCTTTTCAGAAAGAGAAAATATCCTTTTCAGGTAACAAAGAATAACTTTTACACAGACATTTGTCAGGTCTGTAATCCTGCACATTCAAAACCCCACAGCTGAAGCCCATCTTTTATCACTTAGTTAAGTAACACTGTATTCCACAAAACAAATACAAGGAAATAAGAAAGCAAGTAGATATTTACTCACCAGCCTTCTCCTTCTCTGAAATAACAGGCATAGCCTGAAAGAAAAAAATAAATGATACCACTATTAAAAAAAACCAAACCACTATTAGGGAAACATTATAAAATCTTAACGTAGATTTTATGAGCATCCAGAAGGTCTAGAAAGAACTGAGGCATCAGTGTGTTAAGCACTCTGGAGAGAAACAAAAAGTTCCTGTTTGAGTATCTTATAATCTATTATGAAACTAATTACTGTTAAAAAAAAAAAAGAGGACTAGGAAAGAAGGGAGGAGATGGAGTTAATAAGATATTCCAATGATTGCATTTTGAAACAATCATCCTAGAATAACTGCCCACAAAATTCCGCTGGGAAATTGCTAAATAATTCTGAAGGAGTGAAGACAAAAACTGTGTGCCTGAAGATGAGACTAAAATGCCAAATCTTTCTTCTACAGAGCTCAAGTAGGGTTCTGCCATTGACTCCATATAGTTAGGACTCGGGCTCACAAGTATGTTGTTCTATAACATATCTATTTCTTACCTTTCATACAATTTTTCAGAGACAAGTAATAGAATTGTTTTCATATTGGCTGTAATTGTTTTTGGAGTTGGAAAATTTTTTTTTTTTTTTGTTTGTTTGTTTTTACAATGGATGTAAAAATCTTTCATATTATGCTTTTCTTTCAGAATAATGCAAATGAACTTTCTGGGTGTATTTTTCCTAAAATAAGTAGGTTCTAGATTGGATGAATAGTAAAATGGAATTTATATGGCATACATCTAAGCAGAACTAAAGAATGTGCAGATACAATAAAGGTAAGGAAGGCTGGATGAGAAATCAGATTGCGTATGCAATGTAGGCAGAGTTGCCATGTGAGTTAAGGTATCAATTTTACATCCCTTTCACTCATCAGTCTAGCCTTTATTCAGCACATTTTCCTGCTGCAGATTTCACAGAAAGAGGAGAGTGATGGACAGAAATCACAAAACAACTAGTTTCAGACTTTCTATAGAGTTCCTGAAATAGGCTTTAAAAATTTTGCTTCAGGATTTGATTTGTCTTGCTATATAAAATAGTATTTTATAGCATTTCCTGGATGATATTTTGTATAAAATTTCAACTAGAACATGTCTTAGACAATATTTATTAATAAATACCTTACAGATTGGTAATAGCCATAAGAATACTTTTGTGATTCTTTGTTTCACCTGTACTCTGACTAGTTAAATATCTGTTGCTTGAGTTCGACATTCAACCATAATGCCTCAGGGCAGATATGCAAGTCACAGAATTAGTACTTCTCAAGTAGGATGAAGAAGCACTATAAGTTCCAGAAAATTTAAAGGTAGAATGAGGTTCGGAGAGAAAAGTACTTCCTACGTTCCTGTAGAAATCTTGCAGCAATTCATTAAGACTGATGCTAGAGACACCAATGTGGATTACACAAACTACCAAAAGTAAGAATTTTAAAATCAAGTCAGGTGCATAGGAAAAAAAAAATAAAAATACTAGAGCACTGAGATAAAGAAATACATTCAAAATGATAGAATCACAAATTTTCCTAGAATAATTAGAAGGAACTCATATGGCGGCGACTACCTGTCGCCGCCATTTTTCACTACTCCAGGTCCCCCATAGTGCATTATGTAAATATAGAGATTTCTGTTTATTGCCTCACTTCTATTGATATCAGACTTAGCCCACTTTTTTTCAGCAAAACATCATTCCATTTCCTTCATGTGCTTTTAAAATTAGAACAACTAATTTTCTCTAATTTGGTCTTATTGTTTAAATGCACAAGAAAAAAGTATAGCATTTTCCAAGAGCCAAATATTTTCTTAAAGTCATGTGAATCCAAGTCAAAAATGAAAAAAGAAATTATCTCTAAATCCCCCCTTATAGTAGCATTGAATTAATTAAAATAAAATCATTTCTTTAGAACAGAATAAGAAGCATATATTTCCAAAGAATATCAATATTCTTCTCACTGTAAAAACTATAAATAACATGAATGCTTGACTCAGAACATGGTACTGTAGCATACTTATAAATTCTGAATCCATTGTAACAGTTATGAAAGAGGTTTTCCTTAAAATAATGTATATAAGCAAGTAAGTCTTACTCATTAATTCCTTAGATTTTAAAGAGAACTCATATATGGTTTTAGTCAAAGGTTTAGATTTGCTTAGTTTACAGAAAAATTAAAAATCTTACTATTTTATTAAAATATATAGTAAAGTCCCTGATTAAAAAAACCCCAAGCCAAACAAAAAAACACTCCCCAAAATTACCCTCTTTAGCCACAAAGTACAAAGACATCTTGGACAATACTTTGAAATATGTCTGTTTCCTAAGCAGAGTGTAATTTTGCTGAATCGAGATGTAAAATGAGCTAAAAATTCTGTCAGAATGTTCTATTGCTGCTTAAAAGCTGAGAAAAAAAATCCTAAATGAACATAGTATTTCTTGAAAATTTACAATAAAGTAAACCACCAGCAAATCTTGTTCAACAAGATCTCTGATGGTCCTACTATTGGTTTAGTTTTTCATTAATACAGCTACCCATACTGCTTACATGCTGCCTAGTGGGAAAACATGATTGTTACTTATGAGAAATGCTCTCATCTCCAGTACGGTTTTGAATTCACTGGAGACCTTCTTCCAACAAGTTCCATATGTTCCAAATGAATTGCATTCCCAGGAAGTGATTTAACATTTCTGGCAATGGAGCAATTAAACCGGATTTTCCTGCTTGGCCAGATGGGTTCACTGTAACTTCACGTTATTTCTCACTCTCCTCACAGAACTGAAGAACTCGACTAACAATTTCCACATGATCGGGTCACATGTGTTTTTTAAAAAAGCAGGCGCATGCCCTCCTTACACCCTCTTCACAGGTTTCACAAACACTCCCCAAAGTCAGGCTCCTCTCTATATTTTTAATGATATGTGCTTTTAGCAGCACCAAGAAATAAAAGGGGGGGGGGAAGAGGGGAAATCCCTATCAGACCATTGCTGAAATATACTCAGGATTTACTTTTAAATTGGAGAATGTGATTTTTAACCTATAAAAATCTTACTTGAAATGTCATATTGAAAATTTTTGTATGCATCCTTACTGTGTTGCAACCGATTCCCTGTAAATATATTATACCTGCAAATATGACTGTAAAGTGCATGTAAAATGCTATATTGGACATTTTTCTTTAAAGTTGCAAAGAAGACAGAGTGCATTTGGGAGCAGCGATGAGAGTACGCTGAGCTGCAAGACCGCCATTGTAAAAAGCTGAAGCACATCCAGTCTGACCTGAACATTGGCTCTCCCTTAACTGTAGTGCGAAGCTATATGTATTTTTTTTTTAATACTGATTCCAAACCTGCAGACAAAACCATTATGAACAAAATTAAACTAGCTATCTTTTTGTTTCCTTGCACTCACATAACACGAACAGCTCTATTATGACTGACTTGTCTGCAAAGGGCCACACTAGATGGCAGAGGTTTGTAACTACAGTAACTGGCAAGTTACTGTAGAGGAGCATGTAACATACAATTTCTGAAATAAGGATCTAATGACATCTATTTATTGTTGTAGTATCTCATAAACCAGTTGGAGTGAGTCTATATTTCAATTTTGCAAACAAGATATAGCATCTTTATTTTAAAGCCATTAAATGCATATTTTTTCCCCAGAATAATGGTTCTGCTTTTTTTTTTTTTTTTGGATTACAGAAGATAAAGTGCATTTGGCGTTATGTGAATCACATTTTCAATGCTGCCGTCCAACCATGATGATAGATATTCTACAAAGCTCTTCCATCATAGAAGGCTGTCAGCTATTCGGTCTTTTTTCAGATATGCATTTGAATAGACATGCTGGGAAATTTCCTTGCTAATGATCTGATACATCTTGATTTGCAAGCATTTCTCTACAATTTTGCCGGTGGAGATAATATCTTCTACTGTCCAGGGTGAAGGGAAAACTCCAGGGTAAATGTTAGCATACTGGGATTTGACTGGAAAGGGAAAATCCAGCCTTCATAATAATTGTGACCAGGTGACTCACAATTGCTGAGCTCAAGCTGTTATAAATCCCCTACCTTATTTTTGGAAGTGCTTTTATGGTAATCACCTTTTATTCCTGCAATTAAAATCATGGCCTAAATTCTTACCTTCGTGGATGCTTTTTGGATGCAAAACAGGGTTAGTAAGAATTGTGTTTTTCACTGAAATGATTTGCCTCAGGACCAAATCCATCTTTCTATTCTAAAAAAATGGAAGCTTTATATCGCATTAGGAGCAGAAGAGACCAACCTCCAAAGCTTGCAAACATAAAAATGAATGTTATATTTAGTTTTTAATTAGGGTCATTGATTTTAAGACCAGAAACCACTATGTAGATCAAAATATATATCTCTGTTGTCTTCTTTCTACTCAAACCATCAAAACACACAAAAATCTAAAATCCTCTAAAGAAGAGCTATCTACTGAACTTCTGACAAGAAAGAAAGAAAGGAGGTAATATCAACACAATATACAGTTACCAAGAAAGGACTAATGAATCGAATGACAGAGAACTCTCTATTCCAGTAAATAAGAGCAATCTTGTACCTGAAAACTGAGGTCCACAACGCTCAGACAGAAAACAAATTTTAAGCATTATGTAATTTCTCATCAAACAGTGCATGTTCTGTATCATCGGGAGTCTTTAAATAGACATTTTATTTTATTTAGAAGGTATGCTCCAGTTTTCTTAATTTGGATAAGTAGTAGTTAAAATTAACTGGGTTATTTTACAGAAGAAAAAAATCCACAATCATTCAGATGGTTTGAAATTAGGGAAATATTGCAGTCCATAATGGGAAATTTCCTCGGTTATATCCCCATTACAACAAAATATTGAATAAATATCTCTACCAGAAATTTTTGTTCTTTGAAACCAAAGCATTTCCTGTTAATGAATCAGATTAAGAGAGTAAACATGTAGAAAACCCTTTTGGAAATACTACACAATTTAAAGTAAAATTATCTTTTGGTATTAGCATTGATCTGAAA